TACTAACCAGGCCTGACCCTGCTTAGTTTCTGAGATCACACAGGTTCAGACCTGTTCAGGGTAAAATGGCTGTAGACAAGATATTGATTCTTGAAGAGGATTTTGGAATGGTTTTTAAGATTAGAAGCTCAGGAAGTTGTAATGAGGCAATGAGAATTCTAAGTCTAGTACTTCTGAGGTGAAAATCAAGGGAATGATAATGCTAAGGCCTGCGTGAGGCAATGGGAATGAGGAGATTGCTTTAGTGAAATGGAAATGAAGTTATTAGCATGAAGGGGGGCCAGAAAATGTGGGCCTTGTCTGAATGGAGGCTGACTGTTCGCTGAAGTGACCCAGTCGGATATCAATTTGAAGTCTGCTAACATAACCAAAACCAAGAGGAACAACAGCTTCAGCTTCAGTCTTAAAATAGGCAGGTCACATTGAAAGTTTCTGGAAAGAAGTCCAAAATGGTCTAATAGGTGAGTGAAACAGGGCAGCTAAAAAGGCGTTGTGAAAAGAATGCATGAACCACTACCACAATCAAAATGCAGTGCATACATTTCCAAGGAAGTGAAAGAAGCTAGGGAATGTCTGGCCAAAGATCCCTGAAGTGGACAGTGACTTCTGGAAAGGCACCAACAAAGTAAATTAGACATTTTCTGTTAAGACATCTTTTGAACACAAACAACATTTCAATTAGTGTCATGCAGGGGGGCCCACTTACTGTTAAAGTAAGTGATTCTTCTCTAGCTCTCAGGGATATGACGTCGAAGAACAGGCCTGGGAAAGGAATTCTGTGTATGTTTTTAGAAAAATCATTGTGGTTTTGTATTGATTTTACCAGAGAAAGAAAGTGTAATTTAATGAAATACATAATGTTCTCAGCCAGGGCAGCACATTAGCCTGGAAATGAGGGGGAAATGGTCGATAGACTGAATTCTCCAGATGATGGCTATATATGTGAGCTGTGCTTTTAGAGCAGAGGTTATTAAACTTTTCAGCATGGACGCCCTCTCCTCAGAACTTTAGGAGAGAGTGGGGCATAGTAGTTATAGAGTGATTAGGCTACCTGATTTTGAATCTTTGCTTTTTAAAGATATTAACCAGCTGTCCTTAAGTAAGTTATTTAACCTCTACATGTTTCGATTTCCTTACCTTAATAATTCTCCTTCTTATCATTTAAATAATCCCCAGGGGTCAGCAATATTACCAGTTTTTGTGTACACCTCCAGAGATATTCTGTGCATTTAACAGTCCATGATGTGTTCCTTCCTTCCTTCCGTCCTTCCTTTCTTCCTTCCTTCCTATTCCAAAAATGAGAGCACTTTTCTGTATCCTTTTCTAAAAAAATTAACTACTTTCTTGGAGGTCATTCCACAGCATCACACAAAGAGCCTCCTTGACTGTATTAAAACAGATTTTCCATTCATTATTTTATTTGAAAATGACCGTTTTACTGTTTCCTTGTGTGACAGCAAGCAAGGTTAATAAACTTGCTTGCTGACATACAGTGAGAAAGTGTCAGAGCTTGGACTAGGATACGAAAATTCTAACTCCATGTTCATTGTTCATTTCTTAGCCCACCCTGTGTGAAATTGATCTGGGATTCAATGCTTTCTCTACAACAAGTCCACCTAGATGTTTGCATTTCGTGGCACTGTTGCCTTAGACTGTGTCTAACTAAATGTAGTTGCTCCATAAATGTTTGTTGAATGTCCTAGAACTGGTTAATTCATAACCCTGGATAATGATTCACATTTTTATCATCAATCCCTCATATTTCCCAAGAGAAATATCCTTAGCATACATGCTGATGAAAATATTATGCATGGGTGCAAATACAAAATGTTCTAGTCGCAGCTAAGTGCAAGTTGTTTAGCAAGCTGAAAAATTTGACATAATCCTCTAGCTATCACACCAGTGAGTCAACCAGCAGCCCTCCTGGCCCACAAGGAGTTCAACTTCTCAGAAATAGTATCTGAGCAGGTGGGGGCGCCTGTTGGAGTCTCCTCAGCTCAGAAATCACAGATAGAGCCAGATACCTATTGTTTAGTTACAGGCCCCAACTTCCCCTCTTGGCTGCTAAAGCCTGGGAAATACAGTGTACATTTGCTTCCTTTTCTAAAGCAAGCCGAGCACCTAGCTATCCCTGAGGTAGGAGGATTAAAGCCATGCAGTGTTCATACACATGGAAGACGTTTTATGCTTTCAACACAAATTTATAAGGTATTGTAATTTATTTATAAGATAACAGTGCTCTAAACTCACTTTATCAAAATTCATTCCTACTTAGTACTGGAAGAAAATTTTAAAATGCTGGTTGATGCTAATGAACTTCATTGTCTTTGGATTTTTGGTCTTTGGCCTATTGTGCTGTATTTATACAATGCTTATGTTCGAGAAAGAAATTATCTGGATGCCTTAAGGACAGTTTACATAAAAAGCCTTCAAATCACCATTTGATTCCTTCTGTTTTGTTTGTTTTGCTTTGCTTTTAGTTCTTTATAGTTCATAAAACACTTTCAAATAAAATACCTCATTTGATCTTCAGAGAAACCTTAGGTAAGGCAGCTCTTAGTATTCTCATTTTCCTTTTGGAGAAATTGAGACCCGAGAACATGTAATATCATGTCCAGGGACATGAGGAGGAAAAGAACTGGATCTCAACTCCATTCTTCTGAATTTAAGTCCAAAGTTTTTCCACTTCACCTTCTGTTTCCACTTCACCCTACCTGTCCATCTCTCCATCCACCCATCCACCCATCCACCCATCCATCCATCCATCTATCCAACCATTAATCATTAGTTTATTCAACGAAAGTTTTTGAATGCCTGTCATGAGCCAGGCATGGTATGAGGTGCTATGGCAAATAGAAATATGAGTCAGCTATAACTCCTATTCTCAAGGAATTTATAATCCACCAGGGATCCTAGCTACAGAGTTGAGTAATTCTAAACTGAGGCAGAAAGTGATAAGCATGAGAGAACCAGAATGTCCTACAGGGGTTCTGATTCAGGAGGGTAATAGAACTGGGAGAAAGAGTAATACAAGATGTTAACAAGAAGTCATTCACATGGAAGGAGACCATAGCATAGGAATGCTATGTGTAGAGAGAAACCTCGAAATTGGTTTTCTGAGGGCATGGTCTAAGGATGAACCTGAAATCACTTAGGGGAACAAGTATAGGAAAAAAAGAGAGAGCGAACATATCTGAAAGGGAACAGAGATGAGAAAGTTCAAGTCAATAAGATGAACTTTTTTAAAGAAAGTACGTGGATTCGAAAGTTCTGAGCCAAAGAAAAAGAGTCTGAAAAGTGGCCAATAACATCAAGGTGGCACAGAGACATAGTGCTTCTACACTCAGGGAGCATTTTCTGCTCCGTCTGAATATTTGGAGCATCTCGTGGCCAAGGGCAGTATAAAATAGGATATAGCTCCTTCCAGAGCAGGTTTGGATGGAATCTAAATCACAAAATAGAGTTAGGTCAGCTAAGAAAACTGGAAATCTGAGGTTTTGGAAATCAGTCTGTATACATATACTTAGTATGATTTCGTGATGGTTATTTGCCCTGTATATCTAATATTTCCTATAGTGGTAAGAATATAAAGTAGGGAAATATATCCATGAAAAATTATGCTATGAAACTAATTGCCTCAAGGAATTACTCCAAAAATTATCCTGATTAAGGTATTAAGTACATATCTTCCCATCGAAGGTCCCAAGGCATACTGAATAGTTCAGGAGTTAGGTGCAATGGACCCCAAAAGGACAAAATGATAATACTTTCAACCATCCAATTCAACCAGGGAGGAAATGTGGCTAAATTTGTGTCCTCTCTCCTAGACCGTAAGAGCCTATGAAGGGAGGGACCCTTTTTTGATCATCTTGGCATTCCCTGTGCTTAGTACTGCACCTGGAAAATAAAGATGTTTCTCTGAAAATCTGCATACAGCTTCATCTATCTGAACCTTATATATTCCTTCACAGACTCCATTGACTATGGGATGTTTAAGTGCTGTAGATGTTTAGTATTATAGTTCATACTACGGGAAATCACTTCTGGCTGGGAGGTCCTGAAAGGCTTCTCAGAAGAGGTGGGACTTGAATTAGATTCAGTGAAATTTACATTGGTAAAGAGAGCCAAGGAAGATGTTTCTTAACACTTCAATGTCCAGAAGTGTTAGGAAACATCTTCCTTGGTTCTCTCACTTTGGTGAGAGCTCAGGGAGATGGAGAACAATGAAAGCTTTGGAAGTCAGTAGCCTTACATCAGAACTGTAGAGTCTGCAAGCAATCTCTAAGACCATTTGCCTCCGAAAAGAAATGAAAATTTGAGCATGGAGAGATTCTCTAATGGAGAGGAAATGAAGACAGGCAGGGAATAGGACCAAATCTCTGGGTAAAACCTCTCTAAGGGAGTGAGTGGAAGAGAAGTCAACCAAGTCAATTGAATTCAGAAAAAGGTGAACAGGATAAAGGCCTCATGCCAGCCAGAGCTGCATTCTGGTAAGGGAGGTCAAAAGAAAACAGGTTTTCAAGTGAACAGGGAGGAAAAGCTTGTAAGGTGAATTTGGAATGTCTGGTCTTCTTACTTGCAAAGCTAAATTAAAAAAAAAAAAAGTGTGTTCGTGAAAGCAACCATAGAATAAAAAAAAAAAAGAAAGAAACAGATCTCCTTTAAGGTGCTGCACATTGCCTAGTCTGTGCCTCTTTGCTTTGCTTCCTCATGTTTCCCTGAGCAATGATTCACCACTGGAGGCCTCATTTCCTTCTTTGGGCATTTGCCAACTTACAGAGCTCTAAAAGGAGCCCTTCCCCCATCCTCTGCTCTTGCCTTATTAGTGCTGTGAGAAAAAAATTAACGTATTGAAGTACATTTCCTTTGTGGTTACTGGGTAAATTCTTCCAGGCCTAAATGTCCATGCGTTTTAGAGAAGAAGCTGAGGATGTTTGTCGCCAAAGTCTGACTAAGGATTTAGCTGAAACAAAAATGTGATGCCCCTTTACTCATTCCTCTCCCCTTCCATGCTCCCATCCTATGTCCAGCAAAAGTTGAGCTCTTCCCTGAAGAAAGGGAAAACGGGTTTTCTTGGAGAAGTAACTGACAGTCAGCAAGCGCATTTACTAAGCACGATGTTGGCATATTTTCCATGATGCCTGTAGCAAGCTCCACATCAGAGATTTGAGAAAACACATGCACTTTGTCACCTTGACACAGGAACACTAAATTCAAGGATCACTGAATGGATCACTGCATGGGTGGAGAAGGAAGAAACTTTTAAAGGTATGACTTCCCAAAAGCCAGGGTAGGTGACATAAGGCCTTCCACAGCCATGTCAGAGAAGAGGCCAGAAGACATTTCTGAGTAACAGGCAGTTATTGAATATAGTCCTCTATTGCTAAAGATGATAAAAATACTACTAATGATATGTATTGAATACTACAATGGAATAGGCACTGAATGCTTTACAAATGTTCACTCGTCTAATACTTTAAACAACCTTATTAGTTGGGCCCTGTAATTAAGATAATTTTGTCCAAAAAAAGTGAGGGGTTGGGGAAAGAAAAAAAGAAAGAAGAAAACAGAAATGAAATAATGAAGATAAAACAGTCCACTTTGACCACCACATACCAGTCCCCCTGGAGTTACAGATGTTTCTCTTTGCGTTTACATACAGGTGTTTGATGGCTATTTAGGCTTTGCCCT